ACCCCCCCCCCCCCCAACCTCGAAAGGGCATGTAGAGCTTTGCTTTTCCTTTAATAGCACCCTCTGAGAATCCCCATGCACTCATACTACAACATACCCCCAAAACTCTACTCTCAGAATTCACGGCACCACCTCTAAATCTGTCATCAAGACCCTACAGAGCCCTATAAAAAGTTTAGAAAGCCTCCATAAAAGCCTGTCTGTATATCTGGTATCAGAGACCACAAATAACCCCTTTCAAGCCATTATCGCCACTACAAAGCCTGCAAATCTTTTACCCACCCTACAATGGCCCGACAGAGCCCTTCTTTGTAGTCAAAGCCCTTTCAAGCCGATAAAGCCCTATACAATCTCTGATGAAAACCCAACGGAGCCCTATAATAAGACTCATACTGACAGCAATAATAGAAATACTAATGATAATCATAATAATCAGAATCATACTAGTCATTATGATCATACTAATGATCATAATCAGAATGGTAGTTCATAGAATTAAACCAAGCCATTGGAGCGGCCTCTGGTACGACTGAAATCGTGTGGACCGGCCGGGATCCTCAAGTTCGCCTGGCTTAGAACTAGTTTTCTAAGGGTTCCTTAGAGGGTTCCTATAAAGGTTTAGGGCTTAGGGTTTGCAAGTTTAGGGTTCGAAGGGTCCGAGGAGTTTAAGCTAAATTCAGAGTTCGGAGGTTCTGAGCTAAACAGGCTTATCGTAAGCTAGCCTTCCCCATGCTGTCTGCCACGACCACGGGAGAGAACTCAAGCTGCTGCCGAAGACCCAGGGAAACGGAAGTTCAAACTTACTGGCAAACACAAACACTAATACTAAGAACCCCGATCCCGGGTATTCTGTTGGAGAGCGAAGAAGCCAAGCACGTGCCCGAGCACTCAGAAACAGACCACGGGTTACAGAAAGTTCACTGCGAGCACCCCTCGTAATACCCTGCGGCCGAAACAGCGTCACACTTGACACACCGGAAAGCGCAATCATCAGAGCTGTCATCATCACGTTCGTCATCATGACGATTGTGATCATGATTTGGGTATACGGTTCACAGACGTGCATGGCGTCCTCCAGCGCCGGCCGCAGGGAACGTCCGAGGGACCGGGCGAGGCTGTGTCGGCGGCGGCTGCACGGGAGGCTGCATGGGCGCCTTCTGCAAGCGCTGTCCTGGCAAGGGAAGAATCGGCTCAGGGGTAGGCCGCTTGCTCGGAACCCAGAACTTCCAAAATCCCTTCATTAAAGAATATGCCCTTACATCACACTAGGGATCCTGCTATACTTTAAAGTATACTCCTGGCAATTCAGGGATATCGGAGGATCCGGGAATGAGGTATCAAGACACTCAGAAAGTAGGACTAGCCAGGATTCGGGAAAGTGAAGGGCATAAGAAAGGCTTCAGGAATACTGGGGCCTTAACCTTGAGACTGGGGTTTGGGGTTTAGGGTTTAGGGTTTAGGGTTTAGGGTTTAGGGTTTAGGGTTTAGGGTTTTGGGGTATATCACACAACACTACAAGTCGCTAGGGACTAGAAGGGATATCGTAGAGGTCCCTATAGCAGGTGGGATGGATCCGAACCAGCCGTGCGGCTCTAGAGCCGCTTGCCCAAGAGATTCTTGGTAAAGATCCCAAGATGTTAGAGTTTCAGGGTATAGGGTGCGTGGTTGTTTAGGTTGTAGGCTTTGACTAGGGTGTAGGGTTGCGGGAGTAGGGGTTTTGACGTCTAAGCTTTGGAGTACTGCGCTGGGTCCTTGACCCACAGGCACCGCCTCCAGAATGCGAATGGCACGTGCCCAAGCCGGGTCCTCCTCTTCGTCCTTCACCTGCCAGCGGCCAGCGTTGTTGGGTGTTGGGAATGGGTACGGATCCAGAACCAGAGTGTTAGATGCGTAAGAGGTATATATATATATCAGTGAGCTCGAGTTTCGAGCCGGTCCTGAAAAACACATTGAACTGCAGACCTAATTATTCGTGCTGCTCTCGATGCTCTCTGCAAACTCGCAGAACTAGTTTACAGCTCTGTGTAAGCGGACCGTCACTTCGGCCGTGACATGTATGGCTTCCAGATGACTTTAAACATCCTAAGCGTAATGTAGGGGCCTTAATAACTAAAATATAGTTTTTGGGTGCCATTATACGAAAACTATAGTAATGAAGCCCTAAAATAGTATGGATAACCATTTAGGGCTCCTACAGTAAGCCTTGCGAGCCCCTAAACCCTAAACCCT